CATCAATAGAATTCAATTTGATATTTTCTACTGGTTTTTTTGGTTGAGGGGATATTGGCATATTTTGATCATTATCAGGTNTTGGAGATGCCCTGCTATTGATTGGAGATGGTTTAAGGGTTTGTTTTTTAGGTTCTTGAAGTATAGAAGGTGCAATAGTTGGTCTTTTATCCAAGTTTGTACTATTGGGTGCTAACTTTGATTTTGTGTTAACAATATCATTCTTAACTGCAAGTGGTGATGCTACTTCTTCTTCCACTACACCTGGTCTTTTATACTCTAATTATTGATGGTTAAATGATTGATGGTTATTCAAATGATATTGTTAATATAATTATAAATAATAAAAACTTACTCTTTAAATCTCTAAGCTCGGTCTGTACATGATATATGGTGTCTATTTGAAAATCTACCGTGTTCTGAATAGGGACTCCACTAGAGCCTTGAACAACATGGCAAGTTAAAATGCCAACTTCCTTAGCACTTTTAATGTTATTAACATCATTATCAATTAATAACACTTTATAAGGAAGAGCTTCTCCAGTAACCTTCAAAATATCCATAAATTTCTTTGGAGATATTACTACATTATTACTCATCTTGTTATATCTTATAACACCCTCAAAACAATCTACAATTCCAACACTTTCCAAGGCTAATTTACTAGTATTAATATCTTGTTTAGATAAGGACCACTTGTCTTGAGGTAATTGAACAAGTGCTTTTCGTAGATAGGGATCACTTTCCAAGTCTGATATTGAAGGCGTTAAAATAGATTGCATCATGATGAGTGTTGTTACTTTATCCAGCATGGGCTGAATCTTAAATGGAGCATTATCATTCATCATTCTTTAAATATTCCCAACAAGAACAATAAAATCATCCAAAAAAATAAATAATGATGGTGGTGGGTGGTTATCTCTCCTTAGAGGAAGCGAACAATATACAAGCCTTGATGAATTTTTTTTTGAACTTGTAATTTTTACGACGCGGGAAAAAATGGTAACTGCTATCTCTTTATTAGAGAGAAAAATGTTCTTTTTTTTTCTGGGGCTGGAAAACTGCCATAACGAAATTCCTCAACCAACGAAATCCCACTCTTCCAAATGGAGCTCTTTTAATTAAACATTTGTTTAAGGTGTGATAACAGGTGGGATGAGACGACTAGGAGTTGAAGTTCATTAAGGATGATACTATGTGNTAGTGTAATTTTAAACAATTACAACCG